CTAACACGAAGGATTTGGATTTAAGGGGGGATTTAAAAGAATGATAATGGAGCAATGTTAACTATAGAAAATATAATTTTTATCAGTGATTATATAAAACACAAAGTATATGTACAAAACACAATGTAAATGAATGATTATATGCAAGTAAATAAATTTTTTTTAAAAATAATCATCTGTATGAGACCAAATGGTAAAAAACTACACCAAAGAAAGAAAAAAATTACAAGATAGGGCAACAAGTAAACTATGGTTCTAAAAAACAGTACAAACAATAATAGTTATAACTCATTATGAAAAATATAACCAGTATCACTGAAAACATTTGCAGTGTAAATGTTCCATTTAACATCTTAGTGAAAGAATAAAATTTGCATATATATTATATGGAAGTGGCATAGTCTAGAGAGAGGTGCACTGCTAACTCAAGGGCCTCACCTCTCTGATGACTTGAATCCACAAGCAAATTCTTGGGACAAACATGAGTAATCTCCTTCCACACAATTTATAGTCTGGAGGGTCAGCTATGAGTTTGTAATGGCATGAAGGCAGTAAGTGATACATACCTATATGTATATATGTGCATATATATGTTAGGGGTTTTCAAGTCAACTGCAATGCATAGCAACTCTATGAACAACAGATCAAAACTTTGCCTTATTCTGTGTGGTTCTCATGATCTCAAGCACACTGCTATAGTCACTTTGTCAATCCATCTTATAAAGGGTCTTCTCTTTTCCTGATCTTCCACCTTTCCCAAGTATGGTTATCTTTTCCCAAGTACTTGCTCCATTTGACATGTCCAAAGTATGAGAGACTAATTTCTACATTCCTCACCTTTAAGGGGCACATCCTCCAAGGCAGATGTTTTTGCTCTTATGGTAGTTTGTAGGATATTCAACATTCTACTCCATCATCACAATTCAATGACCATCAATTCCTTTTTGGTCTTTATTATTCATTGCCCAACTTTCAGAGTGCTATATTCTTGACCATATAATCTAGCTTCTTGAGTATTTGCTCAGAATTCAGATTAAATAGGTATGGAGAAAGGATACAATCCTAAAGCATCATTTTCCTGAACTTGCAGTGTTCCCTTGTTCTGTATGGGTTTCCCCTGAGCACAATTCCATTCTTCTCAGTGTTAGCCATAATTCATTATTATTCATCACAATTTTATCGATAATTTATTATGATTTACACAGTCAAGTAAAATGGCTTTGCATAATCAAGAGAACCCTCTGCGTACGTGTATACACACACCCTTTATTATAAAGAAGTGTGTATATACACACTTCTTTATTCACTGGGAAATTAGTACTTCAAGTTGGAAGGCACTCAAAATGTGACTGGTTCTTCAAAGCATCTTCAAGGACATGGATGGAGTAATGCTTTTACCCAATGCAAGATCTCCATTTGCTGATTGGGCAAGACTCAAAATGAAGACAAAGAGCTGCAATGTGGGATGCTGGAAGTATAAACATAGGAAAACTGGAAGTTGTCAAAAGTTAAAATTGAACCCGTAACGAACAACATTCTTAGGCACTAGTTAGTTGAAACTGTTATTTTGGTTATTTTCCTTCAGACACTCATAGGATCTACTAAGCTGGGAATAACAAAGTAAAGAAGAAAAGAAGAATAGTGTTATATTAATCATCAAAAAGAAAATTTCCTGTGATAAATACCTATATGCATACAAGAAAGTCCAGTTAACATAATTATTCAAATATATGCAGTAACCACTCAATTCAAAGATGAAGAAAGTGAGGGTGTCTGCTATCTTCCACAATCTGATACTGAGCATGCAATTAAGATGCATTAATAATAATGACCGACTGTAGTAGAAAAGTTGGAAACAAATAAGGACTAGCAGTCTTTCCAGTCTGTATACTAAACAAATAATTCAAGGTGTATTATATGAAGCTCAATGTGGCAGGCATCAATCACAACTGGGAGAAGATAAACACAACCCATCTGCAGAAAATGAGGAAGACTTGAAGCATTTTTTTTAAAGATTACAACCATCATTATGGATTGATTATACCTGAACATCAAGAAAACAAAAATCTTCACCACTCAACCAATAAGCAATATCATGACAAATAGATTAAAGAATGAAATTACCAAGGATTTCATTTTCGTTGCATTTAAGATGAACACCAATAAAAGCAGTAAGCAAGAAATCAAAGACCATATTGTATTGTGCAAATCTGCAATCAAGTGCTAGAGCAAAAGAAAGTCACTTTATAAAGTATGGCGAGCTCTGGTGGCCTAGTGGCAGGAAACTGCACTGCAATCCCAGAGGTGCACGGTTCAAATCCACCAGATGCTCTGCTGAAGGAGGAGTAACAATCGCCTCCTGTACCAGTCAGATCCAATTTGACGGTACACACATAAAAAGAATGAATGAATGAATAAATAAGTAAATAAAATAAAGTACGGAGTACATGACTCAACTTACACAATTTCCAATTCCTTAATATTCATATCAAACTTGAGCAAGGGGCAAGAAGACTGAAGAAGAAAACAATGAAACGAAAATGTGCAAGAATGAATGAATGAATGAAAATCCAATCTCCCTGTAAACATTTGTTAAAATCCCAGTTAAAAAAACAAAACAAAACAGAACAATTTCTCAATTGTCTTGGTGAAGAGTACTGAATATACTTCCAAAAGAATCAACAAATGTGTCTTGGAAGAAGGAAGCCAGTATTCTTCTTAGAGCTAAGGATGGCAAAGGATCAGTGGTTGAGGGGAAAAGACTTCATGCCTGGAAAGTAGAGTTAGCAAGGGAGAGGAAGACCTCCAATGATGCAACTGACAAAATGACTTAAACTATGGGTGGAGACTAAGGATGGTTGTATGCCACTGAGTCAGAACCAACCCCTAGCCAACCTTGAAATGGGTTTTCAGAGGGAGTAAGGGAGGAGATTGCTCATCCTCAAGCGAAGCAAGCTGGTGTATTCAAACAATATGCCTTTGGAATTGAAGTGCAATTTCTTACCACTAGGAAACCAGAGTTCCAGTGAGGATGATAGGACTGGACAAAGTTTCAATCTGTTGTTCTTAGGGTGACTATGAGTTGGAGTTGACATAACGGCAGCTTATATCAACTATAATCACAACAGTAATTTTATTATGCTCAACCTTTTAAGGAATCTTCAAATAATTTTCTATAGTTACTATACCATTTTATATCCTACCAAGAATGTCTGAGGGCTGACTTCTTTGCAATTTTCCAAACAATGATTTCAAGTTTTTTATATCTGCCATTCCAATGAGAGTGAGATGGCACTTCATTAATTACAGTTTTGATTTGCCTCTCTGTGATGGCCATGGTCATTTTAATCACTTGCTATACATTTTGAGAACTACACAATGATAAGGATGACAGAAGAAGAGAAAGCTTTTGAGTTGTGGTCTTTGAGAAGAGTACTTAATAGTCTATGGACCGCCAAAAGAAGAAACAGTTATGTCTTGGGGACAAGTACAAACAAAGGCAAGGAAGGCGAAACTGCTCCTCACATAGTTTGGAAATGTTGTAAGGAGGAGCCATTTCTTGTCCCTCAACAAGATGGACTGACACATGGGCTCAAGTACATCAGTGAGGATGAGGATGGCTCAAAATTAGACAGGGTTCAGGTCTGTTATTCATAGGCTTGGTACAAATCATACTCAACCCAACAGCACCTAACAACAATAATGGCTAATGATTTTGAGAATATTTTTGTGAATGTCCTTATCTTCTTTTTTTGTAGTTTTTGTCATTGTTGCATGCTGTCAAATTGGATCCAACCAGCACAGGAAATTGCCCCTCCTTCTCCAGCGGAGCATCCAATGGATTTGAACCACACGCCTTTGGGATTGCAATACAACTTCTTGCCACTAGGCCAAAAGCACTCCCTCATATCCTCTTTTGTGAATTATTAAAGTCTTTCGTTTCATTTTTAATAAGATCATCTTTTTCTTAATAAGTTCCCAAAAAGGATTTTCTAATTTTTTTTCCACTGGCCAATGAATATGTTTTATTCTCTCAATATAGCAAACTCACACTTCAGTTTTTGTTCATACTCTAACTTGAAAAGACAGCAATATGATACAAAGAATGATTTTGCCACAAAGACAATTTTCAGAGTTAAGTCAACTGTTTGCACCTGTCTCGATTGGGATAGATATATTTACATAACTGGCTGTGCCTGAGGCTTCTTTGCAAGTGGCTTCGGATCTTGAATGCACATGGCAACTGTCTCCTTTTCCTGTTTTGCAGAGCAGCTTATTCTTCTCCACCCAGTTTCCTATGTGCTCTTGCTCTGTACTATGCATTATATTCTGCACTGAAACGTGACAGTCCAGATGATTCTTTACCCCTTGTACACTTGGCATGGCTGTTCCCAGTAAATTACTTCCAAAGCCACATCAATGTTATTTGTTTGCTCATCAAAAAGAAATGATTATTTCTGAACCAGTGCCTTTTCTAAATCAACTGCATCTTAGACATATTTCTTGGAAGTCTGCTTCAGCTCTCCAAGTTGATCATTAAGTTTCTAAATTGTCCAACAGAGGCACCATATTTTTCACTATATAGATAAGCAATACTACTGCTGTTACAATAAAGACAATTTCTTGTATAATCACATCTATTTCTTTGTATAGAAAATACAAGATATAAAAAAGAAAATACAAGATATGCCCATGTAGGAACCCGTGGCATGAGTTTTAGGATAAAGAAACTGGAAATTCCTCAGGAATCAGCCCAAAGTGAACTTTTCCTCCAAATTCAGGAAGAGGTGGAAGAGGTGCAAGACTTGACTGTCCTTTGTGAAAGATAGGGAGCCACTGTGGCTGCAGAATAAAGTACTGCCTTGGACAACATGATCAGGGAGATTCCAGGTAATGGTCTTAGCATCCTTATGACATCAACAGCAGATTTTCTAAATGAGAAAATAAGAAACAGCAACATTTTTAATGCTGGAAGCAATTTAGAATGGTAAACATCTTACCTGTCACAGAAGGATTTATCAGACCTGAAGAACCGCTGTTTGAAATCTGTGAGGGAGGTTGTTGGCCCAACCCAGTAGATGGAGTTCCTAAACGAGGAAACTGCTGAGAACTCATTTCCACCTAGAATACATACAGACATATGATTACTGTTGAATTCTGAAATTAAGAAGAATAATGAAAATTCAAAGTTGTAAACTCATTCCTGTCAGTGAATTCAAACTACTGGCTGGAGTGGCCAGCCTTTAAGTTAGAGCACAACTCACTATAACCTTTACCACCACTGCTAAAAATACTGTTAGAACTTCTTATTTTACCACAGATACATAAATGCAACTTAGTTTCCTCATGATATAGTTATTCAGTATGCACAGCAAAAATTACCTAAATTCTTAGAGTTTTCTGATATACATAAATATAAACGTGTATAAACAGTACTGCTGTTATTATATACCATCATGTTGGAACCATCTCATAGGTGACCTTCTAACAAATTTTCAGGGGCTGCAAATCGTACAGGAAGAAACTGATCATTTTACTCCAGAGTAGTAGCTTACTGGATTCAAACCAAGTGCCTTTGGACTGGCAATGCAACTCCTTACCACTAAGCCACCGGAGCTCCCAGAAATACAAATCTCCACCAATATTTGTGGACTATACTATGCTGAAAAACTAACATAGAATCTTGACATTACAACCTGATGGCAGGTGTTAACACCAGGCATATGTACATTTTTTTGAGAATTTACATGTCACACCAAGGTGAATGCAAAGTCATTATGTCATAGAATATTCTGAGGAAAGAAAACTTTTTCTAAGAGGAGAACATCAACATCTTAGTCAAAAGGAATTTTCTCAAGCTTTATCTGGACAGAGTGCTCTTGTGGTGTATAGTTCAAAGCACACGGTGCTGCCAACCAAAAAAAAGGCTGCGCTGCTCCAGGAAGTTCAATTTCACCTATATTTCCTATGGAGAACCAGAAACAATCTCTTCTCCTAGAACTTAATGGCCTCGGAAACTCGTTGGAAAGTTACAACGAGGCTGAACCGACAGGACAGCATTTGGTTTTATTTGCAAAAACCTTCACTGACAAGTTTTGTTATCTCTCGTCTTTCATACTCCCTCATCAAGCCGAAGAGATCTTCACTGCTTTCTCTCAAAGTCACTCTCCACAGCAAGTTCTGCTGATTTCATCTGCAACCGACTGCCCACACCTCCCACTTGGTGGTTTAGTGGTCACTAGCCTAAGGGTGTTTCAAAGGAGAGAGGGCTCCTGCAGAGCGTGCCTTGGGTCCAAGCGCCTACGGCGTCGCGCGGGCCCCACTCCCCGGCCGCACGGCCTCCTCCCCTAACCTTCTCCACCTCCCATTGGCCCCACATCGGGCTCGTCACTGAGCGGCTGGCACCAATGCAAAAATGGTTTGGGAGCTCAGGCCCCGCCCCACCCTCCCAGCGAGAGCCAGCCAATCAGGTACGAGTCTCGCCCGGGCGCCCCCAAACCTCTCGAGGCGCAGCCAATGGCAGCGGAAGGCGAGCTCACCCAGTGAGCAGGGCGGGGAGCCGGCAGGCTCCACCTAGACGGCGGTCTGAAAGCGGCGGGCCCAGGGCCCGGATGTGGAGAGTCACTTTAAACTCCTCCAGGAACCAAATTACCCGGCCGCGCGCCCGAAGCTCAACTCTTACACTTTCCGCTCAGGCCCGAGCCCGCCACGCCCCCAAGCCCAGGTCAGCGTACACTTCACGGGAACCTCTCTTCCTCTCTCTCCAGGATGCCCGGTCCCAGGCCATGGCCTAACTCGCTTCCCTGCATCCCTCAAGAACTCGGGTCCTAGTCTCAGAAAACAAGAATAGGTGCCTTACCCTGGAGACGCACCAGGGAAGGGCGCTGTAGCCCAAATCAGCCGCCCCGCCCCCTCGTCGTCTCCTTTCACTTCTCGGGTTCTCGTCTCGCCAGTACCTGTTGTCTGCGCCAGGTAGCTGACGCGCCGTCTCTTGCTCACTGCTATGCACTCTCTGCCTTTGGAGCAGACGTCCTCTGGCTCCAGAGCCGCCGCCGCCTCCAGAGCACTAGTATTCTACCCCCACCCCCTTAGTTCGGCGCTGCTGTTTCCGCCGCCGTAACGAGCCTTTCGCTTATTGGCTATTACAGGCCCCGCCTCTTCCCAGGGAACCAATGTTAGCACGGGGGGGGCGGGTCGGCCCAGTGGTGCCGCCTAGCCCTCTGGGAAATGTAGTCCCCGTTGCGAAGAGGGAGGGCGGGGAAGACTGAGGCGGGCGGAGCCTCTTCGCGACTGAAGACACTAGGTTCAATCATTCCTTTGCTTTCTGGAGACGTGGACGTTTTCTCTTCGCTGAGTAAGAGGAAATCCTATCCGGGTTTCCTCGCCGAACCACACTAGATTCCGGCTTCCCGAGGTGAGAAGCTAGTCGCAGCGGGCTTTCTGGGCTGTAGGCGTGGCTGAGAAGTTTCCTGGCGGGACACGCCTCCCCACCGCTCCTTGCAGTGATTGGTTCGGCTACACCCGGCCACAGCTGAGGCGGGCACCGAAGGAGATCCTCATGCTGCGCGGTGCTTCCGGTGCGGCCTTGCGCGCTGTGCCCGGCTCTCTTATCCGAGAGCCAGCTTCCGGGTGCTCGCGCAGGAATCTTATGTTGGGTTCCTTTTTCTTAGGTTGCAGGGTTGGAGTTTACAAACTGATGAAGTAGAAATTGAGTCTTGTATGCAGCTTCTGGCACGGGGTTGGAAGAATGGGTAATCGCCTCCCGTGCGATTAAGTGCCTCGGAAAATCCGCCAGAGGGTCAGCTGGGGGTTGGTTCCGGCGGCACACAGCAACAATAGAAATTACGTCCCCATCTTCCCTACACCGAGGGTCATTTAGGGTTGGAGGTTCGAGACTTAAGATCGTGTTGTGTCCTGCCTAGCCGATCTCACCTGACAATCTTTTCAAATGTAAAATCCCTGACAGAGATGGAGTATCCAATAAGTAAGGTAAGCATGGGTTTACGTGTGCTTCCTTGCTAAACTGTGGTAATGTGCTTCTAAAGGCCTACTGCACGCTCTCCAGTGAGATCTTGCTCCTCCCCTGGTTCCCAAGGTTGAGACCCCCTTTCTCCTGAAGATCTGGTGCTGGATGCAACCTCTGGGTCAGCAGATTGTAATAAATATGGGAGCCTATGTCCCAGTCTTTTCTCCCACAGTGCCTCATCACTGTCTTTTTGGTTAGCAGCCCAAGTGCTATCTTTGTACCACCAGGATTTCTTAGTGTATCTCTTGTCAACTCAATGACTTTATGTACAACAAATCAGAACCTTGACTTACCGTGTGTCAACATCTCTGATCATCAAGATACACCCTGCTTTCTAGTGGATTCTGGCCCATAACAAACTACCTTGGGCTTCAGTCTCTCTCCTGTATATATTATCTGGTAGATTTCAGCAGCTGACCTTAACTTTAGCACCCTGGCACATTATGCATGGGTTCAAATTGCTTCTTTCTATCCTGCACAATAAAACAATTGCCTCCTAAGAGGAAAGTAGCTCAGGGAACAAAAATTAGTCTGAAATACCCAGCCCTCTTCCCTTAAATCGTTTTCTTATTTTCTTCCATTCATCCCCAAACATCTTCTAAAAGTTAATAACATACTCTGGTCTCCTCATTGGATTCTGCTCCTAATAAGTTTCTTAAACTGTTTGCATAAAGAGTCCACTGGTCTGTCTACTCCAAATTCAGTGATCTTTGACTAGTTCTAATCATCTTTAATTGATTGTTCAGGAATTCTTCCTTAAGATGCTCTATGCCTGGCCTCCATATTCACTCTCTTTTTCCATTTCCTGTTCCTGGACTAGGGTCCACCGTAGCTCATTTTCCTCATAAGCGTGACATTGACTCAAAATCTTTTTTTTAATGTACATATTTTTCTAAATGTTTTAATGCACTCTCAGTAGTTTAAAATACAAACTTATACATAAACCAAATTTTTATCTAATGAGGTTTTCTTTCTTTGAATTGCCTAATTATATTTCAAAGTTCTGTACCATACCAGTCCATGTCTTTCAAGTGCCTCAACATACTGCAATGCCTTATTGATTTGTTTCAGATATCTGCTCCACCTGGTACCTAGACTTGGTTAATGATATCACTATTTCTTCTGCGTTTGGATTTTTTACTTTCTTTGAACCATAGAAGATGGCAGTGAGATGTCGCCTCCATTATTACATTGGTTTTTTTAAGACTGTTTTGCCTGTGTGTTGCGGATGTTTATTTTAAATGCTTGACTAATAACTGAATTGTTGTTGTTTTGTTGTTATGTGCCGTTGAGTCGTTTGCGACTCATAGTGACCCTATGCACAACAGCCCTAAACCCTGCTCTATCCTGCGCCAACCTCACTGCCTCTGACACACCCATCCCGATTACCCCAGTCACCGAATCAATCCATCTCATAGAGGGTCTTCCCCTCCTGTACTGTCCCTCCACCCTCCCAAGGATGATGTCCTTCTCCAAGGACCCGTCCCTCCTGGCAACATGTCCAAAGTGTGTCAGACGAAGCCCCAGAATCCTTGCCTCCAAGGAGTAGCTTGGTTTAATCCTCTCCAAGATGAATCTGTTTTTCCTGGCAGTCCATGGTGTATTCAGTACTCTTCTCCAGCACCACAGCTCAAAGGCATCAACTCTCCTTCAGTCCTCCCTAGTCATTGTCCAACTCTCTGATGCATAACAAACGATTGCAAAGACCATGGCCTGTATCAGGCCCACCTTAGTCTCCAGAAAGACACCGTTGCTCCTGAGTACTTTAGAGAGGTCCCTAACCGCAGACTTTCCCATCGCGATACGCTTTTTGATCTCCTGACTGCTGGTGCCAAGAGTGTTGACCATGGAGCCGAGCAAACTGAAGCTGTGAACAATCTCAATCTCTTCGCCATCCATCCTGACACTGCCAATTGGTCCAGTGGTGAGAATCTTTGTCTTCTTGACATTGACCCTCAGTCCATACTGAAGGCTGCAGTCCTTGACCCTCCACAGCAAGTGCATGAGGTCCTCCTCAGTTTCAGCAAGCAGGGTTGTGTCACCTGCATAACGCAGATTGTTAATAGACCTTCCACCAATCCTGATGCCA